TGATGGAATGCAACATTCTTGTCCAACAAGCGTACAAACTATGTGCAAGTCTTTTATGGATTATTCGATATCCCATCTCGAAACATCCATCGACTTGGAACTGTATTTAAGATCACGGCTTTCAAGGTATGTTCCATGATCACCATCTCTATGCGCAACCATACCTTATAACCATAAGTGATCTAGGGATTTTATCTTAAGTGCAAATATAAGATAAATGCTTACTCTTAAGATAAAGTAATGCCTTATTTACAATATAATTCCAATAGATCGTATTTACAAGTAGAATACGTCCAATCAGATTGGAACGCCGGGTACCCTACTCTAACAGATGCACCCTGGATCGTTAAAAGGCCCAGTGGCCGGTGAGCCCATTGATGGGAGTGTCATCCCTAGCTTTCTAGGGCACGTCGCCTCCCGCATGTGGAGTGGAGATTTGAGGGGGCCGCTGAAATGCCACAACAGACTGAGAGCGGTCGAGAATCTGAAGGCTTGGCGTGAAGAGATGTCTTCCGATGCGAGAGCTCTTCTCGACCAGACCGGGCTGTCACATTTGGCCGACTCCATGCACACCAACTTGGACACCCCACTCCTTTCTGCGTTTGTGGAGCGATGGCAGCCGGATACTAACTCGTTTCACCTGCCTTTTGGTGAAATGAGCATCATGCTGCATGACGTCCGGGCCATTTTGGGCGTTCCTGTGGAGGGAGCCGTGGTCGCTGAAGACCCGGATTCGGACGCCTGCCATGGGCTCTGCATGTCGATACTTTCGGTCACCAAGGGCGAACTCATGAGTTCGTTCTGGCAGCATGGTTTGGTGTCCGAAGCCGCCATTTCGGGGGCATTCAGGGGGAAAGGCCGGCCGGCTAGGGATGAGGCGGGTGCCTGGATGTGGGTGATGCTGGCTACCACATTGTTCGTCGACAAGAGTGGTAGTAGAGTGACCCCCAAGCTCCTGCACGAGGTGCTCGACGGCTTGTATTTGATTGGGGGTTACTCATGGGGATCGGCTACGCTGGCATACATGTACAGACAGCTAGGTATTGCCAGCCGAGGGGACTCTGCCCAGATGTCGGGCTGCTTGACTCTTCTGCAGTCTTGGATATATGAGAATTATCCGATTTCCGACCCCGGGGGCGTCTACCCATCGGTCCTGACTGTCTCGCACGATCACGCTCGTAGAGCGTAGGGAATGCGCCATGGTCAGACGATCGGCTCACAGCCATCCGTCGGCGCCTCGACAGACTCACTGCCTCCGATGTACGTGAAGTTATTTTATTTAAATTTAGTTACCCGTTATTTTAAATAATATAATTATATTTATATATACTTTTATGCAATTGTGAACAGGTGCAATGGTTGCCATACGACAGCTCCAGCCCAGATGCGATAGAGCCGAGAACTCTTTATAGCGGATTTATTCGATACCGCGATGTCGTCGAGCCGTACTTGCCTGCGTGGTGTCTGCGTCAGTTGGGGTATGTTCAGACTGTCCCTCCCCCTACATACCCGCCAATCACTGCAGTACGTGCTTGGGAGTCTAGGAACTACAAGGTTGAGCATTCTGAGGCTGCTGCAGTAGATTCTTGGACCCAGTTCCCGATTTCTGGGACGGTCAACACCGGTATGTTGACCCCCACCACACAGGATCGCGGGGAGGCGACTGAGGATTACCTGCAGTGGTACAGTCGGGTTTCCCATCCGACTCTCATGGGCGAGGAGCTGCCGGACGAGAACGAGGTCCCTACGCGTGTCAATACCGCCTGTGTAAGTTGGTTACTAAATTTTAATTAATGTTATTTCATTACAATAACTTTTTTTAATAAATTTTAGTCTTATCTTTTTATTCTTCCATTTTTTTAGTGGGTGGACCGTCTTTTGGGCATTACATCGACCATGCAGCAGTTCCTTGTTGAATGTCCGGAGGCGGCGCAAGTCCAAGAAGATTTTGCTAAGTTTAAGTTGGATTACGACAATGCCAATAATGATGTAATGAATGTTTTTTTTAATTATTATTGTAAAACATTAAGTTGAATGATTTTTTTTATTTATTATTTGTAAAACATTAAGTTGAATGGTTTATATTAAAAATGAAAAAAAAGTACCATTAATGCGATTTTCGATTGCTCTGTAACACGAACGTATGGTCCTGCGCTTCGAGACAGGCTCGTTCTCCTGAGAGTCCCGATGGGTCGACTCAGGAGAACGGGCTTGTCTCGAGCGCAGGAACATACGTTCGTGTTACAGGGCAATCGAAATCGCATTAATGGTACTTTTTTTTGTCATTTTTAGTACATTAATCATTCAAATTATTATTTTTTTTTTTTGCTAAAGTTAAGTAAGTTGAATGAGATTTTTTTTTTTCTTATTGTAAATCATTAAGTTGAACTGAATCATTTTTTTTTCATTTGCTAAACTTAAGTTGAATGAGAAGCGTCATACCACAAGTGAATAATATCGTTCTTTTATTCAAGAAGGATTTGTTTGAACAGTATACCACAATCGCAACCTAGCCTCGTACTGATCCTCCCAACCCACAACCGATTGATCTCGGTTATCGAACCACATGGAATGAATAGGCGGTAATGGACAATCAGGAGTCAAATCTAAACGAATGTAGTGTGCTACGTTACCAAGATGGCACATGGCAATCTCACGACATGGTCCTCTAGCCGATCAACCCAATCATCTCGACCAACGGCATCTTGTACCTGTGCAAATGAGACCAAGAAGACAAAAAATATAATCATATAAAAGTTTAGTTAATCAAACACACTATTTAAGATTCATAAAAAAAAGTATTTATAAAGTAACATACCTGTTGGTTTTATACGTGGAATCTATGCCGACATACCAGTGATATGTCCGGAATAGATTGATCGACGCAGGATGGGCCATGAATATATGCGTCAACGCTTTCGTATTCGGATCGGATTCTGCATAAATTGTATACTCGCTGCTCATGGCCAAATGCATAAGCTGGGAAGGAACGTCTCTACCGTCGAAACTCTCTTTCCGCAGCTTATCTCTAAAGTTATATACCTGTCACCGATTAGCTTTAATTATAATGATTATTATAATTTAAAACAAAAAAATTATTATAATAATAAATAAAAAAGTATATTAATGCAATTAATTTGATAAAAAAATTATTAACTATCACAATAATAATACATTAGTAAATATAATAAAATTTATTAATTATTACAATAACTTTTACATATAAAAAATTACTAATTATCATAATTAACTTTAAAAAGTTAATTAGAACATATAATACAAGATATAAATATATCTACCTGTCGCACATGAACGTTGTCTCCCGGATTCTTTTCCTTCAGCGCGGCCATAATTTTTGCCGGGGCCACCTGAGCGTCCGTCATATCACGAACAATTTTCTTAGATAAAGCGCTGAGGCCGCTCAACTGGCGATGACCCTCAGGATACACAGCAAATGTATGGTTATGGTAGCCCTTCTCTTCATTGCTACATCTACAAATCCTCCAGTATGGAGCGCCGGACACCTTTTTTACTTTGATCTCAAAATTGCAGCCGCACTTATTCGTTTTTGTCTTTCTAGAATTTCCGCCTGTGCCTCTGTAGCGTTCGCCTCTATGGCACTTCAAAAGCCTGACCGTTTTCTTTTTGTGGCTCGAAATTATTAATAGGAAACCATTCAACATTGCCTGGTGTTTTGCAGCTTCAATAGCGTCCTGAGCACTATTAAATAATGTACAGGTATCGAAACGCAGACTGTAATCAACACCATCTCCTCCAAAATCTTCCCACGACTCTTGCTATATAGTACAGTATTTATATTTTTTGAACATGTTAAACTAAAATAATTAATTCTAGCATGACATAATAATTTGTAACTCATAACATGATATTATCTAACATCCAATTTATAGCATAATGAAGTCTAACATGTAACACAATAATTTGTAACTCCTAACACGACCACAATAATATCTAACGTCCAATTTATAATATAATCAACTATAACATGTAACATAATAATTGTTACTCCTAACACGATACTATCTAACGTCAATTTATAATATAACCAAGACTAACATGTAATATAATAAGTTCTAACTCGTAACACGATAATATCTAACGTCCAATTTATACCTTAATCAACATGTAACATAATAATTTGTAACTCCTAACACGATAAACGTCCAATTTGTAGCATAATCAAGTCTAAAATGTAACATAATAATTTATAACATAATAATATAGTCCAATTTATAACATAATTATTTCGAATATATAACATAATAATTTTAAAAAAAAAATTGTCCGGCCGGCACCGGCCGTCATTTTCGGACGATTCGGTCATAGCCCGTCCGACCGGCCGAACTTTTCGGACGGAAAAGTTCGACCGGACGGCTTATAATCCGTCTGGTTCCGGCGGCCGGACACAAAAATTTTCGTACCTCCGAATTTGACGACATTTTATCGTATACTTTCCTCTAAGATGTTTAGAAAAAATAAAAAGGACAAAATCGTCCAAGGGAGCGATAAATAGTAACATCGTTTTAGATACTTTACCGTAAAGTCTTTACCCCTCACTTTCATCAACACTTTCAATTTTTACCCATTAATTTCTCATTTTAGCAAGCAATTTTGTTTATATTCACATTATTATTATTAATTCAGGGGACGGGACTTCACACAGTTGCACGACACGGCGAAGAAGAAAACTGCTGCTCTGCAAAAGGAAAACGACATTTCCAACTTCCAAGATAAAACGGCGATGGCGGTGGAAGTCGGAGGCGGCGGTCTATCGGAGCTGTACTCCAGTTCGAAGCGTCTCTCTCTGAAGGTCAGGGATGATTTGGAGAGGCTCGAGCGCCTCGAATTCACGTCGTCGTCGTCGTCCTCTCTGTCATCGTCAACCGCCGCCGTCGAGGGGTCTTTCGATGATCGAGCGACTTCAATTCGGAGAGACTTGAATCAGATCCAGTCGCTCTGTGCCGATATGGATCGGCTATGGCGGTCCATAGCCTCCAAGCCTCAGCGCGATCTCTGGAAAAGGTTCTCCCTCCCTCTCTCTTTCTTCCCGACTGTGTGCTTTTATGAGTTTGCGTATTGGTTTGATTTGAATACACTGGATAATTTCCGTTTGCATTCACTTTGATCTATACGATCTATAGGAAATTCAAGTATGGATTCGAGGAGCTTTCGTTATTGAGCTTAATTTGTGCCCTACATATGTGGTTATTGTGAATTTGGGAAGGATTTTTTTAGAAGATTTGATCGGCGGATTTCAAAACTGATTTGATGTTCTTGTTGTTGAAGTGATGATTTATATCTATTGTGTGCGGTTCTGATGCTGCTGGGATTTTTAGATTAAAGATTGTTAGCTGTTGATCTTATCTTGGCTTATGGCATTGTTAGCTGTTGATTTTATCTTGGCTTATCGCCTGACTGGGAACTGTGATTGCCGGAGCTTTGTCATATTAAGGCAATTGGCGTGGTAACGTGAGTGCCTTACCGGTGTGTGTGTGTGTGTGTGTGTGTGTGTGTGTGTGTGGGCATTCGTAATCGTATGTGTGGGAGTATTTGGTGGAAATATCTTTGTAGCTATTTTACAACATGATCTTTCACGATACACCGTGATAATTGTTATTTCTAGGTAACCCGAATGTTTGATATGTGCTGAGAAAGTCTATCTGGTCTTCTCTGAGCTTGGATGGCATCTTTTTTGAGCTCTATTTCCATTTGATTTACTGATTTCTATGAGGAATACTTTATAAAAACTGGTAATATAAATATATAGTAAGATGTTGAATGTTTGAATTCATTGATATATGCGATTGGATGGTTAGGGACTTAGGATTAGTTTTTCTTAAGAAGAACTCTCTACTGGTAGTTGTTCTACATTTTTTTCGCATAAATTTTGCTGGTGTATAGGATGTGCAATAATGGCTGATACGGTTTTCCATCGATACCATTGCTCAACACTTTGCTAAATAAGCTCATCTTGGGGTTCACCTTGAATTTCTTGGTAGTTCAGAACTATTTTGTTATATTTATATGTTTAGTTTTACTTTTGTAAATTTAATGTTTGAGGACCTCGCACAATGAACAATATCCTCATTGTGTTGGATAAGTTTTATTCACTTTCAGAAGTCAACTGTTTAGCACGATAGCTGGAACTTGAATGGAGTAGTTTCTGTTAGCAGCCCTAGCATCAGGGATATTGTTAATCAATACCTGATCCTTTGTTCTTTTATTCCAGGACTATTACATAGACTTCCTAGAAGCACATGCTTTAATCCCTATCACTTGGGTATTCTATATTTTATTTTCCACTTGATTGTTTGTATGAAAGAATTGGTGTCGTTCAGGAAAGTGGAACAAGTCAGTGAGGAGGCTGAGTCATTCAGAGCTAGTCTGGATAAATACCAGGCGAGGCGTCAAAAGCGGATACAAGAAGCTCAAGAGAGAGCAGAATTACTTGGAAGAGCTGTACGACATCACTTTGAGATTTGAGAAAATTTTGTCTCGTCTTTTTATATTTTACTTATCAGTTTAATATCATTGTTCCTTTGCTTTTAGAGTGGAGATTCACATGTTTTGAAGATTTTTGATGAGGAGGCACAAGCAATGGAATCAGTCCGCAGATCATCCAGAGTGTTAGAGGAAACTTTCGCGACTGGAGTTGCCATTCTTTCCAAGTATAGTGAGCAAAGGGATCACTTGAAGGTACTTATTTTGAAGCACCTAATATGTTATTTGATCTTACGTTCTTTGATGCCGATATTAGTATAAGTAAGACATTTTCATAATTTTCACAAAGTACTTATAGTGAGCCAATAGGATGATTACTGTTGTATTGCATTGTAATGGTCTGATGTGTGCTGATTAAACGAACTCAAACAGAATGTTACCCAAACCTGCTTATATTTCATATCCTTTTGCACTTCTCGTTACAAAATATTTGCAGTAGTAATGACAATCAAAAAGCATCCAAAACATTGAGTACCAAATTAGAGAAATTATGAGTTGTCTGAAAAATGGTTCATGTATTGACTACTTTTTTTCTCCTGTTTTGGAATTTCCGGGTTCTTATCAACTTTTGGAATCTCAATACAGAGAGCTCAAAGGAAAGCACTGGATGTTCTCAACACTTTAGGGCTGTCAAATTCCCTGCTGAGGCTCATCGAGAGGAGAAACCGTGCCGACAAATGGATCAAATATGCAGGCATGTTTGTAACAGTCGTGGTCCTCATCGTGTTTTGGAGGTGGACAAGGTGATGGCCGATGCAAACCGCTAAATACAAACCTAGTTTCGAACATATATAGCCTACTTGTTCAGTTTATTGTCCGGGATTTTGTTACATGAAAAAGGCGAAACGATGAGGAGGAGGTTTTTTGATAAACGAAAAAGGCATTTGCTTGTGATGGCACAAATTGCTCCAGGAATTACAATTGTATTTAGTTTTGGCAACAACTGTTAACATTACTATCTACTGTAATCAGACTATCAGACTAGCGGTATTTTTCATGTGAGGCCATAGCTACTGGGATGAGTTAAACACAAGATTTCATGGATGTATTTTGAGGCTACCATATCAAGGTTCAGTATATTCTTTTTTGAAATTTTCACAGGTTGGAACTTCTGATTAACAGTCCAGTTAACATAATTACAAGATTTCCAGTTATCTTTTTGAAATTGAAAGTGACACCAAATTATAATGGAGTTTTCTGAAACAACCGAACAAGAAATCCACCTTGTCTGAATACAAGCGAATCAACATTATATTCAAAGGGATTATCATTGAAATAAGACGCGAAAAAATGAAAAAAAATAAAGCAACAACAAAGTATCACGAGACATCGTCCCCGGACTTTCCATGAGACGAAATATCAGTCCCAATAGAAATCTAAGACTTTGATCAAGAGAGCTACTAACATGCAAGTAACAGTACACAGTACAAAACATCATGTCTGCATACATAAATAGTTCCGAATTTTCGCAACATACTTGTTTTTCACCTATATGGTCTCAACCGTCCCAAAAGCCGATCAGCTTAGGGTCTCGACTGTCCTCTTGTTCGTAAACCTCCTCGCCACAACAACAAACAATCCCAAGTTGAGTAAACTGAGAAACGCCAGTAACCCGAAAAAGTAATGCAGGTGACCGTAGTTCAAGTTGTCGGGTATCCAGCCTGTCCCACCATTCCTCGTGCTGAACACCGTCACTAGCGTCACAAGAACCGAGCTCATGTAATTCCCGAGCGCAAAAGTCGTGAGCGAAAGAGCCGAGCACAGGCTCCTCATCGAGTCCGGCGCCTGGTCGTAGAAAAACTCCAGATGCCCGATCTGCGTCAGCACCTCCGCAAAACCTATTAGGAAGTATTGGGGCACCTGGTCGTAAAAATCGACATTTNTTTTTATTTTTTTTGTGGGCAAGTGCACCTGCCAGAAGACGGAGATGGGAGCCTCCTTGACGTTGTAGAGGCCGTGGCGCCTAACTGTATCCAGCCTGGCGACCTCTAGGGCGGCTGCCGCCAGCATGGCGAAGACGGATAGAAGGAGGCCGGAGCCCATCCTCTGTAGTGGGGTGAGCCCATTCCTGTGGCCCGTGAACCTGCGGGCCACGGGGATGATGGCCCGGTCGTAGACTATGACCCAGAAGATGACGCCTATGGTGTCGAAAGTGGTGAGTGATGCCACGGGTATTCGGAAGTGGGTCCCACCAAGCCGAGAGTCCAAGTAGAGGGCCTGAAGCAGGAACATGTTGCCCATTTGCCCGTAAACCGTGCTGAATATTATGCCCGTGGCCCAAACGGGGAGCAGCCCAAGGAGCCCCTTTAGCTCCTCCACTTGGGTCACCGTGCAGAGTCTCCACGGGTCGGCCGTGCCCTTGTTGAAGTCCGAATGGGTGAAAACCGCTGCCCGGTCAAGGAACCTGACCACCAATTTTTTAAAAGAGTCTGTTTTATCATTCATTCAGAAGCTTTCGGCTTTAAGATAGTACGTTTACTACTAAACACACTCGTCGAGAGGCCGTTCGTGTTGTTTCCGACTATTCGTGTCATGCGGTTGCTTTATCTATGTTTTTATGTGAATTGCAAGTACGTGCGTGATT